GCAGAGGCAGATGGTTGTGGAGCACCTCTTCTCCTCAGACCGGAATAGCCTGCTCTCAGAAATCCAGGACCTCCGAGCTCAGCTCCGCATGACACATCTCCAGAACCAGGAGAAGCTCCAGCAGCTGCAGGAAACCCTTACAAAGGCTGAAGATCACAGCAACAAACAGGAGCACCAGCTCCGGAGGAAAGGTAGTTCTTACTGTTTTTGTCAGTTCTTTCTGTCTTCTACAGCAGTTCCTTTCTGCCTCAAACGTAAAAGGCAAAAAAAGGATGTCTTGCAAAGAAGCAGATGCTGTACAGTTCCTCAGTTTTATTGAATGCACTCAGCTTGCCTATGATGTTTACAGTTCTTTCTCATATCAGTAGTGAAGACAATTCTGAAAAACAAAGAGAAACTGTAAAATAACCCAAAGCAATAGATCTGAAGTAGTATGTACATGGAGAAAAACAGCAAGGACAGTAAAACACACCTGTTKGACTGCRGGGRATTGTTTRTATGTATGTTTGCTAGTRTAGAATCACAGAATCATTTAGRTTGGATAAGACCTTTAAGACTATGGAGTCCAACCATGAACAGTGTCAAGCCCACTTSTAAACCATGTTCCTGACTAAATAAGCAAGCCTTGATTTTCRCAGCAGGTTCCCTTTACATAATAAWGAAACAWGTGCAAGTGACCTTGGTCAAATAAACATCACTTTTCAAAGCAAAACATTTTTTCCTTGTTTTTGTTTTTACTTCACTATCATTCCGGATTCAGACATTTAAAAGCTTACTAATAGCACATGCACTAGTACAATAGAGGGATGTCTTCTGGAAATCCAGAAATTGCTGATTTTATTTGCATAATACTGTAGACATAGGTAAATTAATTATTTTAAAGTACTTATCGAACAGGAAGCCCCAAATTCAGGGGGAGTTGTTTCTCTTAACTCATTAGCCTGAACAGAGCTGTTGGCAAAACAGGTTTTATATAGTGATTCCTGTAATAAATTCTTGATGTAAGTGGATAAGTCTGCTCAATKAGGTTTAAAATCCATTAGTAACAGGTTGCTTACAGAATATCACAGTGATAGAATCATAATGTTTGTGCATCTTTCTGCTGATTCCTCTCATGTTTGAAAAGAAATGAATTCTCCAGATGAGAACAATTTAATACAGCTGATTATTTCCCCCTAATTTGAATTAGTGTGGTATCATATTGTCAAGGTCTCYGTAATATAAATAACTGTTACAATGTTTTCTTATCTTAGTTGAATTATTGGAATATAAGCTTCAGCAGGAGAAATCTATTGTAAGTGACTTGCACAGCACCCTCTCTGAGGAGCAGAAAAGAGCCTCTGAAACATGTGATCTCCTGAATCAAGAAAAAGCATCCCTGAAATCAGAGCTTTCTGAATGTAAGCAAGAGAATGAAAGGTTGCAGAAATCCCTGGAAGAGATTCAGAGGGAAATAAAACAGTTACGGTGAGAAGCAGATTTACTGATTTATTTGATTTAAACGAAAGAGCTTTATACTAATTGGATCCACAAACGGCTTAGCACTTGGAAACAGAGGGAGGAAAACTAGGGTTTCTCACTTTAAAGGGTTATGTTTCCTAAATTCTGTCATCTTGGGTATGTTCCTTTCTCTTCTTAGTGTATTGCCAGTATTTTTCTTTCCTCTCACAGGACAACAGCCTTGCTCTGCCAGGATAAATAACTTTTCTCTATCTGTTAATTGTTACTAAACAGAGCAATTCTAGCTTGGCTTGCAGGGGGGTAAATGTTTTCAGATGCTAAACAGCTGTGACTTGAAAACTGACCCTCTTTACAAAGAACAGAGACCACCTTAAAGAAGCAAATCAATACAACTCAGAGAAACCAACCCAAAATGTCTTGCTTGTGGTGCTGGTGAAGGATGTTCTGTTCTGAACAYAGAAATGTCTTTTTGGACTTTGCAGTTTTGAATTGGAAAAAAAAGAAAAAGATTTGGCAGCTGTACTTGAAGACTTGCAGGCTGAGCAGCTGAAGGAATCTGAGCTGCAAGATTGGTTTAAGGAACAGCAGCGTCAGCAGAGGAAAGCAGAGGATGAAAAGACAAAGGCTATGGAGGTAACTTCCCAGGAGGAAGATTTAACATAAACCATTTCTTACACCCCCAAAACTAAACTATATTAAAGAATGCCAAACAATCCCACTTAAATTCCCTAAGTAAGGAAATACAATTCTAACTATTTCCATGTAGTCTGGCTTCTCTTGTYGTCTTCCTGGTAGGTGTTTAGGTTTATGAGTGATTTTTGTTGGGATTTTTGTTACTCCTGCATGGTAAGACATGCTGCTACCATCTTCTATCTTTCCTTTTCAGAAATCTGGTCATGCAGGGAGGACAGAGTAGCCAAGGCCAGGAGAAAAGTGCATTGGCCTAGGGGTAGCTGTGAGAGCAGATTAGTTCTGGCATTCACAGATTTTTAATTGAAGCCCCATTATGGAAAGCTGCTGCCTTTTAGCACCTGACCTGGCTTTCTAGGAGATAAAAGATGGTGCTGGCTGGGGGGAYGGCAGGGCAGACCTCCCTATTAGGACAGCAGTGCCAGCTCTGACTATCTGCAGTACCCTGGGACTGCCCCTTCAGTCCCTGCCTTTCCTTCTGAAGAAGGGCTGGCTCCCAGAATGGACTGAGGGATGGATTTTAAAGGGAAAGCGTGTAGATTTASATTRGATATGAGGAAGAAATTCTGTGAGRGTRCTGAGGCCCTGGCACTCAGATTACCCAGATCAGCTGTASCTGTCCTRTTCCTAGAAGTGTTCAAGGCCAGGCTGGACAGGGCTTGGAGCAACCTGGTCTGGTGGAAGGTGTCCCTGCCCATGGAAGRGGGTGGGAATGAGATGTGCTTTGAAAAGATAGGCTGCCAAGTYCTGAAGTTTTACATCTGCTCTTGCTGCATAGATTTTTCTTTTTAAATCAACATTGGTTATTGCTGCTTCAGATACTACTTACTAATGGGATTGAGTGATGTGAAGAGTAGTGATTTCCTAATGAGGATCTTACTAACTGAAGAAGAAATAATGTTCTGGCAAATAGATTAACATGATGATTTTGGGGTTTGTTGCTTGGTGCCAGATTGCTAAGAAGCATTTTTCTGACACTTGTAATTTTAAATTAAACTTTTTAATACCTGAACTATTCTAGTCAAGTCTTGAATATCTTCCTGGATAAAACAGGCGGTTGAAAATTGCTAAATACCAGCCAGCCCCACAAATAAGTGCTTGTGCTGGAATATTAATGCATTCTCCCCCCTTCTGCCCAGGAGCTGCAGGCTGCCCTGGATGTGCAGTCGGTGCAGAATCGCCAGCTGGTCGTGTCCTTGGAGCATGAAAAAACAGTAACAGATAACCTCCGCAAGGAACTGCAGATCGAGCACTCCCGCTGTGAAGCCTTGCTGTCCCAGGAACAGACCAAACTGCAGGAGCTACAGAAAAACTTGGATGCTGAGAAAAATCGTTCATTGGAGCTCCTKGATTCCTTGAATCATGAGCGTGTTTTGACAGAGCAGTTGAGCATGAGAGTGAAGGAAGGTGCTTTCTGTCAGCACAGGGAGTCGCTGCTGGAACAAGCCTTTGTCCGAGAGCTCCAAGTCCAGCTGGAAGAGGAGAGGGCCCGAACGATGGAGCTTGCTGCTGTTATTGACAAAATGCACCAGAAGGCCATCCTGTCCMAAAGGCAGCTGGAGGCTGAGGTACAGATGTGCTGCGAGGAAACCCAGAAGGAGAGGGAGGTCAGTGACAAACTGCGAGGCACCCTGGAGTCTCTTCAGGCACAAAAGCAAGAGGTGATCCATTCCTTGGAGGCCCAGAGGGAGAGAGAGGCCAAGCTGAAAGCTGACTGGGAACAACTGCAGTCGCTCTTCAAACTGCTGAAAGAGGAAGATAAGAACAGGAGAGAGGAGAGGGAGAGAGAGCAGAGACAGCACCAACAGACAGAGCGAGAGAAACAGAAGGACTGGCAGAGAGATCAGGAGAGATTGGTGAGAATACTCTGCCTAAAACTGAAATAGCCACACACTGGGATTTAACCCACTGCATGGTGTTCTTCAATTGGAGTGTTTCCTTCTCTTAAAGCATTCTGAAAAATGCATTAAATTACCTCATATCCTACTTTTCTTAAATGTAGCTGTTTTCAAAGGATTCTATCTGGCTTTATTGTTGACAGAAGTTATCTTTAAATTTTTTGCCTATGCTGGGAATTACTGGTAGTTCACAAGTGGGGATGAATATGGGTTAAACGCAGGATGGAACCAAACTAGGTTTCATGTCATTGCTCTTATTTTGAGCTAGGATCCTAACCATGGCTTATGACAGTATTGATTTCACCCTGGATTTCTCCTTGGATGCAGACAATGCCCACTCCAGTGTCATTAAATGGCTTCCTGGTGGCCCTGGAAAGCAGTGCTCAAAGCCTTCCCCCCAAAGTGTTCTGGCAGTTAAGGAACACCCAGCTGATATGCTAATTAGATGGGATGACACTTAYATAAGTGTGTATGTATAATATGCAATTAATTACTACTTATTCTGTTCAAACAGCAAAACTTGGAACRGCAGCACCAGAGGGATGAACAAAGAATTAAAGAATTGCAGGAAATACTGGCAGTACTAAAAGAAAGAGAAAAAAATCCTCCAACTCCAAACCCTCAGGAGGAACTCTTGTGTACATCAAGAAAAGATGGAAGAGTCATACAGTCTGTGACAAAAGAAACTGAAAAACCCCACTTGCAACAGCAAAAACAACAGCTGGAGAAGATAAGGCAGCAGTTGCTCTTTGTGGCTGTGCACCTGAATGAGTTCATATGTAAAACTCTAGATAAGTGAGTTCAAAAAAGAGCAGTTTGCTTCCCATCCTGCTTCTTAACTTGTGTGGGTCWTGGCTGAGATCCCTGTGCTCTTAATTCTTAAAAATTAACAGAACTTGATAATTTCTCTCTGTACTCATAGTAATTTGTGTGTAAAATATTGCGTAAGTAAAGTCTCAGAACTTAAACATCATGTAGTGGGAAGAAGCAATCAAATGTGTGTAAACATTCTTACAAATCAASCTGATACTGAAAASGTATTTCTGTCCAACAGAACGGTTMRTGATTGGTCTGCATCAAATGATGAAGCTGTAGCCTCTTTACTGCAGACATTAAGGGAACTRAAATCAGATTTAATGTCTCCTCCTACATTTCAGGTAAGGAAAATATTAACRTATTTTAATGTCCAACTCTGTTTTGTTGTATTGCAGAGTCTGCTTCTGACAGCTTTTTTTCCCTAGATATGTAACGTGTCCAAGGATCATAAGCCTTGGGATGTGTTGCTCTAGGTTCTTTATGCATCCAGAGACAGCTGTTTTTCACCAAAACACCAAGTGCTGTTCAAAAGCACCCTAGTGGTTTGCAATTTCAGGAGGATTGTTCTGACCTATGTTTGCAGTATTGCAAGTATTTTACACAAGCCCAGGGATTATCAAAGACCAAGCTCAGGTCTATTGATACAAAATAGATAAAAGTATAGCTTTTAGATTCCATCTGATTCTCCAGGAAACTTTGCAGTTTTATGTCTTTCTCCTGCAATAGAGATCTTCAACCACATTTCAGTCAAAATGTGGGGATTTAAGACTAACAGTTTTGGCTCTTGTTTGATTCAGCCTCTCTCCTCCCTCCCCTGCCTGGTCTCCAGAAGACACACCTTTGAGAAGCAGTTATGACTGTCTGATACATGAAAAGATTTTTGTGTCATCACAAGTGTGATGGTGACAAGCTGCCTTGGCATGCTGTAGCTCTCCCTGTGTCTACCTGCTTACAGAATACAGTTAAGATTTTCCTTCCATCATCTGTGCAGACACATAGGTGGTTGCCAAATGGATAATCTCCAGCCTTGAGGGGGATGCAGCCTCTTCAAGTTCATGGGGTTATTTTGGTTAAGCCTTTCTCTCACAAACCTTTAGAGCTGTCAGCTGTAGACAAAACTCGTAGAGCAGAATTCACTCCTCCAGGGACTGAACACGGAAAAATAAAGGAATTCAAGTTTCCTGACTTAAATTTTGTTTAACAAAAAAAGGAGTTCCATAGAGCACTTTAAAGACACACATCTTTCTAGAGCTTAGGAGCAAAAACTCCACCTTGATAGCTTTTCTTCTGTGGGCAAAACCAGTCCCTCCTCTCTGCCCTCTTTTCAGGCTTTGATTTTCTTTTTTTCCAGAGTCACCTTTTCTTTCACTCTCCTCTGTGAATTTCTGCTTCCTTTAAGGTACTGAACCACATGCTCAGGAGACCAAAGGMATTTACTGCTGTTATCACCTTGAGTTGTGATAAATTGAGAAGTACTGGACAGGGAACTTGGCAGAATGTCAGCTTGGAAATGGTGCCAAATTGGGGCTGTCTGGTCAATCAGCTGCCAAATGATGCAGTCAAGGACTTAGATGTGTCATCTAGAACTCCTTCAGATACTGCAGATTGTACTGAAATAAGTTGCTAGGAGAAACTGGGGTCAGTTGTTTGTACTGGCTTCTCTAATGTATAGATTTCATTTCGAAGGATAAAACATTGAGTACCTTAAAATACCTTTTCATTTTCAATCTGCTGCATCGTGCACTGATGTAACTGTTGACCAATAAATTTGTAGTTGATAGGAAGAGGGTTATGAAGGCAGAACTTCCATGAAGAATTGAAGCTGGAGTTCTGGGTCTTATTCCTACAAGAGATGGCATACAACAAAACTCAATTTCATAGAATCACAGCATGGTTTGGGCTGGAGGAGACCCTCAAGCCCATCTTCTTCCAACCTSTGCCATGGCCAGGGACATCTTCCACCAGACCAGGTTGCTCCAAGCCTTGTCCAACCTGACCTTGGACACKTCCAKGGATGATGCAGCCACAGCTTTTCTGGACAATGGATTCTTGGAACTGAATATGTGATTTTTCAGAATTTACTTCTGTAGATGCTTCACAAATTTTGTTGTATGTACAACTTGGTTTTGCATGTACACAGAYACCTTCACAATTTCTGTGATGTCGAAGAAAGATTATTTGTTTCCATTTCAAAGGGTTTGGGAGGCTGCTATAAAGGATTTCTGCAAGGTTGATCAAAGAAGGAGTAGCCTGATGAACAAAAATTTGTTRCTTCTTCAGAAGGGCTTTTCATCCATTTCCCATTGTGCTGTTTAACACCTGAATGCCATTGCTGATTTTCAGGCTTATTGTTGTTAGGCTTTATTTTGTCTTAAAGTTTGGTTATTACTTGGTTTGAGATGTTTGATTATGGAAGTAATGTGCAAAATCTGTGGTGGCTCACTTCCTTTTGGTTTGTTTTAGATCAGATCTGTCGGTGATGCTGACTCTGTTCAAGAGCTGGAAAGAGAGGCTTGGCAGCGGGAGAGGAACACCCTGCAGAATGCGCTGAAACAGGCGGAATCCCAGCTGGCTAAAGCCAATGCTGAAATTGAAAACAAACCAGTAGCAGAAACCTCCAATCCTAAGGTAAAATGATGGGGATGGCCAGCAAAGGGATCTGTGGAGCTTGGAGAGTCAGCAGTGCCACAGCCAGGAGATGTCATTTCAACCTGACCTGCTGGGATAAAGGGATCTGTCAGATTGTGGCATTTATCTTTCACTTGCTGCTGTAATCTTCAATTGGTATTTTAAAAGGTTGATTTTCTAGAAGAACAGTTTGATATATTATTTTAAATTAGAAACTTTCCCCATATATATGTCATCAGACAAGTTCCTTTGAAACTTTCTCAGTCTTATACAGGAACTTGCACCAAAAGTAATCTGAATCTTTGGAATTTCTTTCTACTCTTAAATGAGGGAGACTCAGATTTCTTATCTRAGTACAAAAATAGAAAATGCTCATTTTTTTTAATCCCTGCTGACTAGTCTTAAACACTTTATATTTTTCTGACACATTGATTATAATCAAGTCTGATAGGCATCTCTTCCACYATGYTTTCTTGCTAATATTTTTTTAAGCRGGTGTTATTTTCTTTATTAAAGAGTAAAACTTGTTTAGCGTTTTGAGCACTACAATTTCACTTGAAAACATTCAGGAGATTTAAAGAAGTCTAACACTCCAAATTTGGGTGGGTTTTAGCAGTGTACATAATTGCTTTGGCAGCCCTTTTGTTCTCAGTCTGCACATTTGACCTGAAGACACCTTGATTGTGGCTAGGTTCTTGCAACAGTAACWGTGAAAAAATCGAAATTTAACAAAAAATTTATTTTCTTTCTGCAGTTGCAAAGATTATATCGGAAGTACATTCGAGCAGAGAGCTTYAGAAAGGCTCTAGTTTATCAGAAGAAATACCTCTTGTTGCTGCTTGGTGGGTTTCAGGACTGTGAGCAAGCAACTCTGTCTCTCATCGCCCGCATGGGGATCTATCCTGCTCCTGCAGACCTGCAGCTCTCTGGAGCACACTCCCGGCCTTTCACCAAGTTCAGGTGTGCAGTCAGAGCCATCATCGCCATCTCAAGGTACAGCCAAAACACTTCCTCTCAAATGTGATGTTTTCTTGGAAACTTACAAAATTGATGGTGCCTGTGGCTTATCCTATATTAATACTAAGCAAAAGCAATCTCCAGAAGTGGTTGAAGCTTGACTTGTTAGCTGAGTTTGAGCTGTACTAAAGATTTATAAAAAATGAAAGAAGAAATTCTTGCCTGTGAGAGTGATGAGKMCCTGGCACAGGCTGCCCAGAGAAGCTRTGGCTGCCCCATCYSTGGAAGAGTCCAAGGCCAGGTTRGATGGTGCTTGGAACAACCTGGTCTAGTGGGAGGTGTCCCTGCCCATGGGAGGGGGATGGAACAAGGTGGGCTTTAAGATCTYTTCCAGCCCAAACCATTCCATGGTTCTATGAAAMAGCYACTTGAGTAATACCCAGCTGCAATATATTTGGGAAGCAGTGCACAGCATTGCAAACTGAAGTCCTTTGGGGCTGACCCATATCTCCTTGTCTCACTGGACAGTCTGTCTTGTATCAGAATGTGATCTGTCAGGGATGGTTGTTTCTGGCATCCCGTAGCATGTTTCATTGCATATGATTCTACCATGCTCTGTCACAATCAAATAGGTTTTGTTAGCTGTACATGGGACAAATGTCATCTCCTAATGGCTTTAAGCCCATTTAATGAAAAAAAAAAAAGCAGTTTTAAATGTAATGGACAGTTATTCCTGAGAATTTCCTTGTCTGGTAAAAATGATTACTAGCAAGTTTCTCTCAGGAGATGACAGAGTGTTTGACATGAATACCATAAGAACAGCAAAGGCTGCAGGATAGTGACCTCCAAACTCCTCCTCTCAGGTAGGAAGAACTCTCTGGAGATTAGGAACAGAGTGGAGGAGCAAAGCCAAAACAAGCAAGTCTTTTCAGCAGTTCAATGATGCAGGGTGAAATGGGATAAACCAGCATTCCAAAGACTGATGTTGAAGAWTTCTCCCTTCATTACCACAATTGTTACTTCTGTTGCTTAATATGTTCTATACCAACAAATAATATTAAAATTTAATGTATTTTTGCTTATTTTTAATGCTTGTACAAATTTGTTTTCTTACCAAGGTTAAAGTTTTTGGTGAAGAAGTGGAACAAAGTTGGCAGAAAGAGCGCACAGGGTGAAAGCATTTCTCACGGTATTGGAGGTAACACAGGTACATGTTTGGACAAGTATATTGTTTTCTTCATCATTTCTCTTCAGTGATGTGTTTCACTTAAAAACAAAATCAAAGTGGGAAAATCTGTTGATTTTGCCACTGTCCAATTAGAGTAGATGGATAAATGGTCTGATACAAGTCAGTAAGGACTTGAGCTACTCGAAGAACACTTGCATGTTCCTTTGAGTTACTTAGGAGTGCCTTTGTAAGAACAACATTCCAACAAACATCTTAATGCAGCACCCAACATTGTGGAACTGTTCCCCTTAATGTAATATTCGATTTCTTGTGCTTTTTCAAAGCTAAACAAAGTTCAGATTAAATAGAGCATTTTTCATTACCTGGTACTATGTAATTTTCACTGTTTTGAAGTTGCTGGGAATACTTAWWAAAAAAAARGCACCAGTTTTACACATAAGCCCACTGTGGTGTGATCGCTAAGAAACTTGAATCCTCAAATGCTCAACTTTTTACMTTGCTACAAAATAGAATCACAATTCTTTAAAATATGGTTAAAACAAAACAAAAAAAAAAACCTCAAACCCAAAAAGCAGTTAGCTGTAGAAAGTGTATTTACCTGCATTTAAAATGAAACTTAATCGTCTGCTGTCATTTTCATGGGTTTAGTGGATGTTGTCTCGGTTTGAGACAATGTTTTCAGAGAGAAATGTTACGGAATAAATGCTTCCTCTGAAGTGAAAAGTTTGATAGTTTTTTTCCCACCAATATGAAACAGATGTTTGGGCGAATGTGAAGAGAAAAATAGTTTATTAACAAAACAAGGTGCCCACAGGACACAGATAAAAAAAATTAGTCACTGTTAGATATTTAAAAGTCCAGGAAGCATGCTGCCCCCTCCCCCCACAGCCACTCCACACATGGTGCAGAGAAAGATGGCAAGGCTTTTGTCCCAGGGAAAAAAAAAAGTCCACCTGTCTGTTCGGGCTACAAAGGGAACCTGGTGGTAGTCCTCTCCTTACTGTGGATGAAGCAGAGGGCTCAGTGTGCTTTTCTGTCACCAGCTTGGAGTCAGGGACAAGACGGAGCAGTGCCTGTGGCTTTTCCCCGGCAGCCCCCATCTGATCAACACTTGCCTCCCGGTTCTCAAACTGAAAGCCCTGCTGAATTGCTCCAGAAGAAACTCACAGGAGTCACAGAAGGGGTGGCAGTCCAGGGAGAGCTGTTTGCCCAAGCTAACAAGCCCAAGCTAGCTAAGCAGCAACAATATAACTCTCCTGCATGCAGTGAGGTGAGCTCTCAAAGCACCCAGATGAGCTCCCAACTGCCTGCTGTAGCTCTGGCTTTGAACTGCCTGCTTTGCCTTCCCAGCTGCCCCTGCCCCTTCTTCCAGGTCGCATTTAAAGGCTCAAGGACATTTTGGGCATACAAGCAGACGGACGGAATATAGGAATAGTGTTATCATAAAATCCACCCAAGACAGATGTGTTTATGATAGCCTGTTCTGAATGGCTCCTAGTGCGTATTTTTTTAACCCTTCTTTTTTTCTACAGCTTCTGGTGCTAGAACAGAAGTTCTGAAAGAGCAGCAGCCCCCAGCTGTGCCCATCAGTTCTCCCCCCACCCGGGACAGGGACACGGGGCTGTGCCACAGARCCAGCTGTGCTGCAAGGTTCATGAGCCTCTCCCCACGATCCTCCTCCCGCTCACACAACAGGTCAGTCTGCARAGGCAGGAGAAGCTTCAAATTATTGTTGTTTTTTTAACATTGTTGAGTGGTTTGGGGGACAGACTGTGCTTGTCACAACCTTCAGGTAGTCTTCTGGTTTGCATGGAATTKAGCAAAATGTTTTGGAGAGTTTGAGAGCTGCAAGCACTTCCAAAAGACTTAATTCTACCCCACCCTATCCCTCTATCATGGGATGTCTGAGTCTGACAGCCCTGCTAAGAAAAGTCACCTGTGTGATATGGAACAGGATATTAATGACAGCAGCCCTGACTGGTGCTCAGTGTGACTGGGTGAGTGACTGACTCAGGTCTGATGGGGAGCCAAGACAGGCTAGATAATACCTGTTGCTGCTCTTGGTGGAAGCTCTACAGATGGTAGGGGGGGTGGTGGTGGTGGTTCCAGTTTCCTTTGCCCAGAATTCCTGCCTATATGAATGTAACTACTGGGTATCTTTGAAACAATTGCATGAGAAGGAGAAAAACATTTCTTTTCTTTTTAAGATTGCATCCGTCCCCAAGTTCAGCTCCAGAAAAGTCCGTTGTGCCACTTCAGGATCCTGAACAGTCACTCACAGAATATATCCATCGCCTGGAGGTGATCCAGCAAAGGCTGGGAGGGGTGCAGCCAGGTAAGAACCACCTGCTTACCCCTCATAGCTCCTGCAAGCCTGGCCTGCTTTTTGCAAGGTTCTTTGTACACATTCCCAATAAAGAGTATCATTTTAAGGAATAATCATCATTACTGGGGGGTAACAACTAAGTCTCTGAAAGGAAAACTTTCTGAATCACATCTAAAACTAGTCCAAGTGTGGCATTTCTCTGAATTCATCCTGAAAGTCGTGAGTGATAAGGCTGTATAATTTCATGTGCTTTTTGCTGCCCTCCTGTTCCCAAGAAGTCTAAGTAAGCAAGTGTTGCAATTTAAATGAAGCTGTGTTAATTTTCTTTAAAGTCAAACAGAGCTGTTTTAATGGCTGAGCAGGGCTTTCTCTGCAGCACAGACTGTAATACTTCTTTTATTTACAACTTCCTTATGTTCTTAACAGATTCTAAAAGAATATTTGGAGGCTGCTAAATACAGCCATCTAGTTCTAAAATTGATCAAAGAGCACACAAAGGATTCTAGTGGCACTTAGCTTTGCTATTTGAAACAGTTCCACCTAATTTTTAGACCAAATTACTTAGTTTATTTCAGTCTAGTCACCTCTTACTACATGTTGGTTATAGCACAGAAACACCTTGTTCTAAGGAGGAACTCACAAACTGTCATCACATCATCCTGAAATCCTGAAGGGTTTGGGAACTTTGAGAATGCTCTCAGCAGGACTTTACCTAGAAACTTCATTACCATGACTTCGTGTGTTTCTTTGTTTTGGTTTATTTTTCCCAAATATTGCAGTTATAAGGCTAATACAGGTAGATAAACAGATTTTAGACTTGAAACCTGATAGCCTTATTGAAGTAACACATTTTGCTTCACTCTAAGTATGGAATAAATACTTAATGGCTGGGACACCATGAACAGCACTTCTGTGAAAAGTGCATATAATTCCTGTCATTTCCATGTTACCGCAGTGATAATGTCAGGCATTACAGAACGATGCTGCAAGCTTTAGAACAGTGCTGTCAGCCAAATGATTTCCAAGTTCYTAATGAACTTTAGGACATCTACTCAGTGGCAAGACCTTGCCCAGCAACAGAATCATCATAGGAATGGCAGAATCGAACTGTCACTGGGGGCAAAGAAGGCCTATGATGGAGCACTGGTCCCAGGGTATGAAGGTTTGCTTTGGCAGATRTTTAGGCTTTCAAATCCTGTTTTGGATTGCTCCTAGGTGGCTTGTGAAAATTGGAATTGCTTTCAGTGTAGCTCATATGAAGCGCTTTGAGGAAATAACATGCTGYTAATTGTGCACTGTTGCTTCATAACACAAGCAGTTTTTTAATATTGGTTTGTGTTTTTTCAAATTTAGGGCAGGTGCCAGGTTCACCTCGTCAGAGAAACATGAAAAAGTGATGGGAATGCCTACAAAATCTGTCCTGCAAGTTCCTGCTTCCTTCTGAGTTGGTCCACACTCAACAGAGGCACTTGCAATCTCCCGTGCAGCTGAAAAAAGGGCAGTGCTTTTACAGCAGATTTTTATATGACTCTTTTTATTATATTTTAGTACTTTAAGAGGGACTTTTCACTAAGAGCAATGTTTTACATTCTCATGTGACATTAAYAGCTCAAGTGTGACTGCATCGCTGTATTGTAAGCTGCAAAGTCTCTGTGGTGTTTATTTTTCTATAGTGTATAGGTGGATTCCTTGTAAAAAAAATTATTAAAATGGCATTTTATTAGTGAATTCTTACACTGTGTGGTTGGTTGTTTTCACCTTACCTATTTATTTCTTTTGCTGTTCCTAAAATTGTTTGGGTTTTAATATTTCTGTAGGATCATTCTAGTTAAAGGAATAGTTCTAATACTCCCACAAGTACCAAAGATACCTGTAGCCTTCTGTGCATTTAGGGTGCATTTGKGCACTTCTGTGCACAAATTTGTKCACTTCTGTGCATTTGATCTTCTGYTTTTCAGTACYCRAGTCCTCCCTCAGTCTATCCTATTTACTCTGAGCACTTTTAGCTTTATTTTTCTAGCTCAGAAGGCCCATAACTTTTATTTAACTCTATGCATTTTTGGCAAAATGTACCAAATGAAACCTGTGAATTCTGTCTACATCTAATGTAAGTGATCCTGATTCTGTGTGGTATCTTGTGCTATAGCTACTTCAGGGGGGCAGTTCCAAAGGGTATGAAGCTGCTGGTCAAAGAAGAGGAAAGAGGTCTTGTGGTAGTACATTCCTTTCCAGTCACAGTGTCTCAATGCAAAAATGAATAAGACTTCTTTCTGTGGTATTTCTATGTTTCTTTAGAAAAGGCATAGGAAGAATTATAATACCAAAATATTTTAAACCTCTGGTAATACAAAATCTCCACCTTTGAAGCAGATGTAACGTTTAACTTAAGAGCATGAGAAGAATGTCTTCTGGAGGCAGATTGGTCTGCTGCAGCCTATTAAAAGATCTTTCTCTGCTGGGTATTGAGAATTATATATTGACATTCATCTGAAATTTTTTTATTACTTATTTAAATAAGTTTACCAAAAAAAAGCAGTTATCTGTCAGGTGGATCACCATTTGGTTCTTAGGAAAAAAATGTGGTAGAGAGAGATCCTGGCACATGCACAGATTTATTACCTTCTGACAGCTATAGGAGAACCCTTGAAATGATTTGACAGAAATTTAAGAGAGCTGTGAACAAACAATACCTGATTTGGTGTAAAAGYTTGGCAGAAGTAACTTAACTTGTCCAGAGTTCCAAACCAATTTGAATTAAGTTTAAGCTGGCTCAGTCAGTGCATCATATTTCTTTTAAAAATCAGATTCTGAGAGTGCTAACACTGGATGCAGCATTGTCAGACTGTACACACTGAATGGTGCTGGTACCTTTTTTGCTACTTTGTTGGGAACAATGCATTTCTAGAGCAGAGTTTAGAACTAGCACTAAATCCAATCTGTAATAGCACACTCACAGCTGGATGTTCCATGTTGAGTGTGAGCAGGAGGACTGTGAGACCTGAGGGCCTCAGCATTAGCCAATCAGTACTGACATTAAAAATCCAAATTAATTCCTACTTTTAAAACCTGGCATTTTTCAGTGGATAATTAACACTACCTTTTAAAGGACAATTGGCACATCATAGGGATCAGTTCYGTTTCAAGGRAATTTGGCCTTGCATTGGCACATTTTTAAATCAATCTCCAAGTGCTTTTTTATATCTCAGAATATGCAGGGCTTTGCATTCAGAGGAACTTTTCTGTGGCATTCAGTGCTTCCCTGCCTCACCTCTTCCCTACACACCTCTCCAAGAGTCTCCTTGGCCAGTCAGTGTCCAGGAGCACAGGCAGATCATGGGTGTAAGGGGAAGATGGTACAGCCTCCTATTCAGGAAATAAGTCAGCAGAGAAGGAATTCAGCCCAGTAGAATCTGAGCTACACGTAACATGTTGCCTGCGGCTACGTTCCCGTCCGCTCCCCGATACCCACGGCCAGTGGGAGCAGAAATGTTTCTGCCCAGTGTAAGGGGTGAACTTTTAAGCAGCAGSGTTTTCCCAGTGCTGGTGTGATGTGTCTGTGTCCTCAGAAGGGCAGTAACACACTCCTGAGATGTGTTGATCTCAGTAATGTGAGYAGAGAAATTGGAAACCCSAACATTAACCCARTCACCCCAAACARGTCTTTWGYACAGAAGCAGTTGACARCAGAAAAYTACTTCCCAGATTTCCGTGTTYTCTAGTACCRGGGAGGCTGTTTCTGGCAGAGGAGTTCTGGTGGTCAGGAGCACTGCARGGTCCTGGATTTGCCTATGCCCGACTCGCTGGGAGGCTGCAGAAATGCTGTAACATCAGGCCGTGATCTCCTGCCACACACTCACCCTGGAACCTGGAGTTCAACAGGGAAAACACAGCCTCCAACCCAAATGCTTCCTGCTCGTCTCTAGTGTYCTTTGAGAGGTGGTTGGCTTTAGAAAAGACAYTCCTAATAAWTWTTTTTTTTTTTTWATTATGCAGTCCCAGGCACCACTTTACATCCAGGGGAATTCTGTGCCATGAATGCCCTATCCTGGAACGCTCGGTGGGCTCTGAGGGCTCCGGCTCGGTCACAGTTCCTATTTTCAGCTGGGAGGAAGAAGTGGGGAGGGAAAGGGCAGTTGCGGTATTTTCAGGAAAGGGGCCGCAGCACACCAGGTGCGACAGCAAGGGGAGGGGTGGGAAAAGGGCAG